CACGCAAATATCCCCTTGTGAGTTAATAATGTTCGGTCGCCCAGCTTTGCCTCCGGGGATCACCTCTGCCACGGGCCCCCTCCCGGGACACCTTGCCTTTCCCCTGCTCTCCTTCCTTCTAACCCAACTGTGGAGACACCATGGTACCTTATCTCTGGACCCTTCATGCACTCATCTCTCTTTCTCTTTGAACTCAGGGGACTTGGTCTATTTATCTCCCCCTCTCCCCGAAAAGAAAACCCTCACCCCAAAATGGAAAGGGCCCCTTAAAATCATCCTCTGCACTCCTACTGCAGCCTGATTAGAAGAGACTCCAGGAAAACTAACATCTTGGATTCATATTTCCAGGCTAAAGCCAGCCCGGCTCCCCAGAGACAACTGGCAGAGCGATCCCAGCGACCCTTCGCCTTCACCCCCCCCCTTTCATTTGCACCTCTTCCCCTGGAGACCCCTTGAAACTTCACATCTCTCGGGTTCATGTTCCCTCCCTGGCCCCCAAGGCTGTGCCTTGACTCTCTCTTTTTATTCGCTGTTCTCACCCTCCTCTCCATGAGTGGGCAGGCTAATGCTGGAGGGTACTTTTGGAGGTTTAAGATACGGGAGACCTACACTGTCTCACAAACCTCTCTCACCAGTCTGGTGGGCAGCGGAGACTGCCCTCCTAAGGGGTGCCAGACCCCTCTCTCAGTCACCTTCAAACCCAGGAGTGATAGCGACTTTGGATGCCATTGCCCTTTCTTCTCCCAGACTAAGGACTACTGCAAGAAGGGGGCACCATATACCCAGGAATATGGGTAGATGTCGTGTAACATCTACCAGGTACTGAATTTAAGGGGCCTAGACAACGAATTCTCCCTTTACAGGGGACAAAGTGGGACCATTGTGGCCCACATCTCCAACCCACATGGGACAACAGATGGGTTCGGGGTGAAATGATAGCCCTCTATGCGGGATGCATTGCCTAAAAACCCTCAGCTCATGTTATGATTTCCAGGGAGCTCACCCTTCCAATCCCTACTCAAAAGGAGGTGAGTTCGGAGGTCCTCCAGTCAGAACAAAACCTACAACAGGCCCTTCAACAGTCCTCCACCCCTACCTGGCTCCAACTGTTCCAGGCTTCACTCCAACTCATGAACCTCACCACATCCATTAGTGTCATTGACTGCTTTCTTTGTGCCTCCCTCCAGCGTCCTCTGCTGGCTGCAGTTCCCATTAATGCTTCATCTTCTATCAAGGCTTCCCCTGCCTTTCGAAACTCCTCATGTGTCCCTTCCTTGCCATCGGTACCTCTGTGGGCACCTGACTCTAAACAAGTTCCCCTTTCTACACACACCTGTTATATCCCGCTCTCGATATCTTGGTCCAACTTTTCTCTCTCCTGTCATATCAATGTCACAGTTACAGCACAACTGGCATCCCCCTCAGGGCTATATTTCTGGTGCCACAACACCCTACACTCCTGCATAACCCAAACTACCCCCGGGCCCTGCATACTGGTAATCATAGTTCCCCAACTTACTCTTTATGGGGAAGCTGAATTCTCCCTCCTATTCATCACTCGACCAAAGCGCACTGCCTTCTTGCCTGTTATGGTGGGTATAAGTTTGGCAACCTCCGTTGCCGCTGCAGGCTTCGTGGGGGGAGCTCTTTGCCATAGTGTTATTTCAGCAAGGGATTTTGAGGAGCGCTTACAGATCACCCTTGAATCCACCTCGGCATCACTGGCCTCCCTTCAGCGTCAGCTCACCTCTCTAGCTCAGATGGCTTTCCAAAATAGTAGGGCCCTGGACCTCTTAATGGCCAAAAAAGGGGGTACCTGTTTCTTCCTCCGGGAGGAATGTTGCTATTATGTCAATGAGTTCGGGATTGTGGAACAAAATGTCAAAAGGTTAACAGACTTGGCCGAGGACCTCCTAAGGGGACCCAGTAAAAACACCTTAACCGACCTGCTGAGCTCTCCTCTCGTCACCTGGCTCCTGCCTTTCTTGGGTCCTTTGCTTATGCTCATTACTCTCTGCACCCTCCTACCCTGTTTACTACAGTTTCTCAGATCTCAGGTGAACAGAATCTCTAACCAAACTTTCAACCAGCTTCTCCTTCAGGGATATCACCCTCTCATAGCTCAGCCGGAGGACACCTGTGATGAACCCTACCGAGACACCGAGCTATGAGCCACTTCAATCCCTTACAAGGCACCTGCTGCAGTTCCTTGATTCCCTACGTGAGGATAGCTGGCTATTACCTGCCATACGAGACCCAGAGGAGTGGCTGGAGACCATTTCTGATCTATGGCTACAGGGAAACTTTATAGAATTCAGGGAGGAGGAAATTTTAACCTTTGGAGCCTGGGTGTATGCCATTATGAGACTCGCTTCTCCGACACCATCTGCCAACTAACAACTAACCCTCTCTTCCCCTATGCCGCCCCTTGCCAGCTTGAAGAAGCCAGAGCGAAGACAACGCCCTCCTTCCTTAACAAACAAAAAAGGGAGGAATGTTGGCAATAATGGCGCCGATAGGTTTCAGTTCTTATTGCATCCTTAAGCCCCTGTTTTCCAGGGTCACGGTCCTGCCTCCCAGGGTCACAGTCCTGTTTCAAGTCTGGCTTGAATCCTCCTCCTGCCCCAACCTCCAATCAGCACGAACCATAAGATCCTAACCAATCAGATCATGCTGAGTCCCGCTGAGGGGTATTTAAGCCCTTGCCCTTCCTGTCTCTCTCCCTCTCCCACTTGGCAATAAAGAATCTCTTGGCCAGATCACTCCTCTCCACGTGGTCACTTTTGGGCCTATATTTCCTTACAGCACTGAAGTTGAGTTCCACCCATGTAGCATTGGCAGTGCAGTACAAACCCCTGCCCAGCCTCTGAGTTTCCTCAGATTGCCTGCTGTACAGCTGTAGTGGGCTTGAACCTTTTCCTCAGTTTCCCAAGGAAGAAACCCTCCTTAAGACAGAGAGAGAGGGAGAAAAGGTCGACCTGAGAGTTCCACCATAGGTAGGCTGTGGTGGGGGGTCTCTCCTGGAAAACAAACTCCACCGGAGTGCTGGACGCTCATGGTCACATTCCTAGGCAGTCTTTCCCAGTTTGGCACAACCTATACCAACCTCAGGTGAAGGCTGGTCCCTTCATGTATTGCCAAATATGATGCACGGATGACACGCGCAGGAATTTCAGATGCTCAGGGTTCTTGAGCCTGCTCTGAGAACGAAAGCACAGACAGACTCTAACAGCAGAGGTTGGAAAGATTTTATTTGTAGAGGATTTAGTTGGAGAAAAGAGAAGAGAAAGACTGCATATTGGAGAATGCAGTGGGACCCGGAAACCAATGATCCAGTGGGCCAGGGTGGGGAGTTGGGTTTTATAGCCTATTTGCATTGCCTGATGGTAGGAGATGCCTTTCAGATGCAAAAGGGCATTTCCTAGGGAGGAGAAGTGTCTCCTTGACCACTTATCACCTTTTGGGACCTCCCACAGTCCGTCCTTCAGTCCTTCAAATGCATGATACGTCTTGAGAGAGCAAAAACATGTAGTCATTCCAAAACCCAGTACTGCTTCTTAAGACAGCTAAGAGATTTGTACAACTCTTCTGACAGTTGACAATAGTTGGTTCACTTGCACAAATGAGGTTCAGCTCATATTTCTTTCTGGTCATAATCTTAGGTGCATCCAAACTTTTGTTTAGCTACCTATACATGTAGGCCTGATAACCCATGTGCCTCTAACAGTTGGAAAACCAAGCCAAACCGTAAGGGCACAAAGACTAGACAAACAGGAAAGTAACAGCTCTCTGTGAGAGGGAAAGGATTAATAATGAATGGGTACCCCACAACCAAGAATCACAGTCCAGGCTAATGGAATTTGCTAAGGAAATAGGACTGGAATTTGAGGCTTAAGCCAGGGATCCAAAAGATCTGTATGGTCAAGGACAAGGTATAAGAGCATAAGAAAGGTGATCTGTGGTAGATGTGGATTTTAACTTTTGTTCTGAGTCTGATTTCTGCTTTTTAATCTTGCTAAGGGAGTCTCTAAAGCTAGCCACTCTACTCTTTTGCATCTTTTCAGAGATACAGAAATCTTTTGATTTTCTCATAATTACCAATAAAGTGGTCATTTAGGATGAGAGGTTTCTAGTTTTTTTTCAAGTCTAGAGTTTTTTTTTTTTAATTCAGACATATCATTTGGGTTGTCAGCACTGTATTTATTCTAATAGTGACTTAATCCAGTAAGCAGTTTCATGGAAAGATACAGAAGGTAACTTTCCAGACTTAGAGTAAATCTTTTTTGCAAATTTAAGTCAATGCCTTCTCCATTACATTTAAATGCCTATGCCATTAAAATGACCAGGCTGTCAGAGAAATCAAAGTCAAGTATTTTAGCTTGCTTCTCAAGGAGGTCTGCCCTTGATCCCCTGTACTTATGTCTCCCTGCCCACCTGACCCCTTCACATCACTTGACTTTTTCCACAGTAATTTTTAACCTGATGTACTATGTAATTTGCTTACTTATTATGTCTGTTGTTTCCTATCATAATGTCAGGTACTGGGAAGGGGTGATGGGCAGGCTTTTTGTCTGGTGCTCACTTATCCTAAATACCTATAACTGTACCTGGTGTGTTGTGGGTGCTCAGTAAGTATCTGAATGTTATCACAGACTCCATGAAATTCATTAGGTGAAATTTTAGCTTAACAAAACAGTTCTAATTTTATTGTTCAAAATCTTTTCACTACTCCTGCTAGGCAATTTTCCATTTATTTTGTAGACTGGTTATATTCTTTTGACTGGGTAGATTGATTATGGGTATATTTGGGAGCTGCTTATACTCTGTAAAATGAAGCACTTTTGTGTCTTATTGTAACTTTCTCTAGGTCATTTTTCAGCTTCTGTGACTTTTCTCATTTTAGTAGATGATGAGCCTGGTAACTGTATCTAACATTATTTTTTAGAATTAAATCTTGGTTCAGGATAGCTAACTGATCTTTTTTTTAAATTTGTTTTTAGGTGCTGAATGTGGAGTAAATGCAGATGTTGAGAAACATCTTGAATTGGGCAAGAAATTACTTGCAGCTGGACAGCTAGCTGATGCTTTATCTCAGTTCCATGCTGCAGTAGGTTTGTATCATAAACCAAACCATTCCAGTGCCTGTCTGCAAATTCTAATCAATAGATCTGTTTTTAGATAACATTTTAAGTAAGCACTAGTTTATGTTGAATGAAACGTTAAAAATATTTTCAGAGCCTGGTACTGGAGGCCCATGCCTGTAATCCTAGCTACTTGGGAGGCTGAGATCAGGAGGATCGTGGTTTGAGGCCAGCTTGGACAAATAGTTCACCCCCATCTCCAAAATAACTAGAGCAAAATGGACTGGAGGTTTGGCTTAAGTGGTAGAGTGCTTCCTTTGCAAGTGTGAAGCCCTGAAGCCCTGAATTCAAACCTTGAAGCCCTGAGTTCAAACCTCAGTCCTACAAAATACATATGTATACATACATACACATATATATAAATGTACATATGTATAAATGTATGTATGCATACATATTTATTTTCAGGACTTTGGGTGAAATAGGTTAATAAAATAAACATGTAACACTTGAATGCACACGTATCTAACATAGGTAACTACAGCTTACTACCATAAGTACCAAGAATACCTTAGGATTTCAATAGAAAACTTTTCTCAATGTTCTATATAGATTTTTGCCTTATTAAGCAGATTTCACTGAATGCAATTTAATTTTCTTGATGACTTGGCTTATTAATATAGTAATTACTTTGGTGCTTGTGGAAGATTCTGTTGTTCATGGCCTCTGTAGTATTGATCAAATTCCAACCACCCAGGTGATGTTACTGCTTTTTGCTTACTTGTATCTATAATATCAGCTCTCATTGAAACTTCTAAGCTGTTAGGACTGAGAGAAGTGAGATGACTAGAATAAATAGATTCTAAAGGAGAGCTTAAAGAGTTTTCTTTCTGTCTTTCTTTTTGTGGTACTGGCATTTGAACTCAGGACTTAAAGTGTTTTCTTATGAGTCAATGCATACATTTTTATCCTAGAACTTTTTGACATAGACTTTCCTCAGGGTCCTTTTTTATTTACTTATATATCTCACCTTGATTTGAGATGGTTAAAAGTGACCAGTCAACAAACTGATAGGTAAGGAGGCTTTTTTTTGTTAGTTTTTGTTTTTTTTTGAGGTAGTGGGATTTTAACTCAGGGCCTCATGCTTGCTAGAGGCCCTGAGTCATGCCCTAGCCCTTTTTGCTTTAGTTATTTTTCAGATAGGTTCTCATGTTTTTTCTCAGGCTGGCTTTGAACTTTGATCTTCTTTGATCCTCCCATGTACACCACCACTCTCAGCAGATCTTGTCGAGTTTTATCTGAGCTTGCCTGGACCATGATTCCCCTATTTACTTTTCCTGAGTAGCTTGGATGACAGGTGCATGTTGCTATGCCGGCTTATTAGTTGAGGTGAAGTCTTATCAACTGACCTGGAATCACAATCTTCTCCGAATCTGCCTCTCTTGTAGCTAGAATTATAGACACATGCTACCATGCCAGCTTATTAGTTGAGATGGGGGGGGTCTCAGCAACATTTCACCTGTGCTGGCCTAAAACTGCAATCCTCTTAATCTCTCTCCTCATGAGTGGCTGGGATTATAGATGTGAGCCACTATGCCTGGCTAAGGTGAACTATTGTGCCTGGTCAAGGTGATATATTTTTAATAAGATATTGTGTTCCCAGAATTATCTTCCTATTATTGTAAGTACTATAAAAACAAAAGGCAGGTAGGTTTTGATTAGCAATATATTTAAAAAAATTTTTTATTCATTTATTCACATGTGCATACATTGTTTGAGCCATTTCTCCCCCCGTCCCCCGTCCCCCCCTCCCCCCACCCTCCAATATTTTTCTTCATGCTTTTCTTTAACTCCGATTTTTATTGATGTTACTAACTCTCTAGAATAGTAGGAAACATACATTTTAATCTTGTCTTTGTCACTTGATAATAATGTAGCATTCACACAGTTATATAAGAAAATGTAGGCTGAAATAAGTTATGTGCAGATTCCTAGGAGTTTTCACTTTGTTACCCAAAGGTGTTTTTGTGAATATTAGGTGAGAAGACTGAATATGAAGTTTTTTTTAAAACAGGATATAATTATACAGGTAAAGAATATAGAAATCTAAATTTTGTGTCTCTGGAAATTAAGACTTTCTAAAAAATAGATATGATATGTTCACTGAATTTTCTTAACTATATGTGGAATTTCTACTAGGAAGTTTTCATTTCAAGGATTAACTCATCTTGAGAGTTGGTAGTTGCTTGGCATTTTGCATAGTTACTTGTCTGTCGGGTCATCTTTACTGAATCTGCACTTTGGTGACTGCTTTCCATGCTGCCCTATGGTAATTTAAGGGTTATTTTTTCTTCTTCTTCCAGTTAATTGTCTTTGAAAGATCAGGTCTTAATATGAACTATTTTTACCTGCTACCATAAGAATATTTGCAGGAATTTATAGCTGCTAACAATTATGTACTTTATTATTTGCTGTCTTGGTTGCACAGCTGGAACATGAAGGACTATGGCGGATTATTAACGTAGTTTAAAATGACTACTTTCCATTCACTGCGGCAGTACAGGACTTCTTGAGATGGCTCTTCCTCAAGACACCCAGCAAAATATTACCATAAACAGGAAAGGTGCATCATGGTCATTCACTAGTGGGATTCAGTGAAAGGAGAACTTGAAATACTGCAAGTGCATTCAGAATTTGAGTAGCCTTTGTTTATTGTGATTTGACAAGTGATTCTTAAATGGGGTACAATATAACTTCTGAGGAAGACTAGTGAAGTTTGAGCAGTTATTTTAGTTTGTGTAAAATACAGATTGTTCAGGAAATAGACTTTAAATTGTGTTTGATGGGAATATTTAGTAGATGGTGATGGGGTATTCTGGCCTCTCGGATCTCATCTGTGGACTCTATTTCTGTTGTATTTAGCAAAGATCAAGTCTTTATATGCTATGTTAACTGGTTCAGGTAATAAGTTAGTGAGCTTCTCTTAATAGCAGTTGGTAGCTAGCTCACTAACAGTGAATTAGTCTACGTTTCCTGACTTTCAGATTAATAAGATATGCACTTACTACTATAGGTCATAGAACTTTTATTTTTATTTTTATGCTTTGAGAGAAGGTCTCACTCTGTACCCAGTCTGGCTTCAAACTCTTGATTCTCCTACCTCAGCCTCCTGAGTGCTGGGATTACAGATGTTGTACCACCATGCCAGGGTGTGGTTGTAGAGTTCTTAAAATGTAAGTTGGTCATTTGAGGTAAAATATCTATCAACCATGGTTTGCTTGAGAAAAAAAAAAGCTCATTAAATATTTATTCGTTCATTAAACTATTTATACTCTTCAATTTCTAAATTATATGGTAAAGTCCTTTATTTTTTTAAACTTCTGTGATTAGAAAGTTAATTTGTAATAGAACTTGGCTGGTAGCATTGAGTATTAGTGGACCCTTTTTGTGTTTTTGTTCTTCTGTTTTGGCTGGCCTCAAAGTCTTGATCCTTCTGCCTCCATCTCCTGAGTGCTGGAATTACAGGCATGAAGCACTATGCTCAATCTCGTTTTTTTTTAAAGTAATAATGCCACAATTGTCATTTATTTATGGTTGTGAAACTTTCCATTTTCATTTTTGAAAACTACTTGGTATTTCTGAAAATTATGCGAGCATGGTTTACTTTATGATTACATTTTTATACAGTAACAGTTTTATGTATTACACCTCAATATCAGTATGAATAGTTTCCATATTTGAGTACAGACCTATTGGTGATTTGAACTTAAATTTTTTAAATCTGGTATATAAATGGTTTTTGGCAGAAGTTTTAAAAATTGAAATTGATTGTGAAATATTTTTGACCTGAGAACTGATTTAAGGGATGGAGGTTGTATGTTTCAAATAGTCTTCAGATATAGTTATATTTCTTTTGATGTCTTGAAATAGATACCAATTTTGTTTAGGTTTATCATTCCAAAAAAGTACAATGCAGGTATGAAGGATGCCTTGTCTCTTGATTCCTGTAGCATGGTTTAGTAGATAATGAACTCTAGGGTCTGAAATCATTTCTTTGATAGATCTTACAGAGTATTCTAGGAGTATCTGGCATGAATGAATGCCTAACGCTGCAAATTAAATGGTGGCTATGTCTGAAACGATAGGTTTCTTAATTTTCTTGGTAAGAAAAATCACTATTATGCTTAATAGTTTTTCTCAATGAAAAATAAAAATCCACATCTACATTTATGTCATTAGACATGTCATGGTGCTTTCTCATCACATTGGAGCCTTACTTGCGAAATGGGGACGTATAGACATTACTATTTGTATTTGACAGAAGGAAGCAAAGCATGCTCCACTGACTTTCCAGACCCTATTTCCGTTCCACAGATTGTGAACGTCTTGAGTATATGCATTCCTTCCCTCCCTTACTCAGTGCTCAGTATATGAATGAATGAAGTAGAGTTGCATTAGCGGGGAGCAAGAATAAATATTTTCTACATTCTGCACTTCCTACTACCAGCATTTCCAGCATCAGTTGTAATTGGCTTTCTGATGTATTTTCTTTAATTTCCTTGTATTTGAATTGTTTAATAGTTTTAGGAATAGACCTTGAAGCTACCTCTCCTGTTCTAATGAACTATTATAATGACTTGATTTGAATGTACTTTTAAATGAAATCTAGTACTTCCATATGTAAGCTTGCAGATATTTACATAATGAGCTATACCATGTATTGGATGAATAGTAGAAAAAAGTATTTTTCAAGGTTATCAGACCTTGTATTGTGAGAAACTGAGCTTGAAACTCTTAAACCAATTCATATTTTAATTGTTATTTCATGTACATTGGTAGATAAATGGATTCTAGTTTCAGGGATTGTTGATATTTTGGGACAAAGAGACAGGGAGCAAAGACACCTTGATTTATCTATAAGTGACCCCACATCTCTAAGCAAATTGATTTTTGATTCATATGTTGAAATATTGTCATTTGATCTCCAAAGATATAGATAGAAACAAACTCAGTTCCTTCTATTGTACTCTTATAATTCAGAATACTTTTGTGAACTCTGGTCACTAAAATATGTGGAGATTTCTTTCTACCAAGCAATCCTAAAGCTTCTCCATGGACACCAGTTAGGTTCCTCTACTTCAGTTCACTGACCTATCTACCTGGAGGAAACATAAGACCCCATGGGTTGAAGCAAGACTGTCTTCCACTTCAGATGCCAATCTCAAGCCCTAGGTTGTTTTGCATGTGTTGATCACCTGGCTATAAATCAAGGTTCCCATGGCCATCTCCTTGAGTTGGATTAATTTGCTAGAGTAGCTCATAGAACTCAATAGAATGCATTTTCTTGTATATTATAAAAGATATTAGAAAGAGTACAGATGAGCAGTCAGATAGAAGAGGTGTGTAGGGTTAGGCATATGAGTAGGCATGCAGAGTTTCCTTGCCCTCTCTGGGTGTGTCACCTTCCACCTAATCCATAACTCTTCTGAACCCTGTCCTTTTGGATTTTTATGGAGGCTTTAATACTATAGGCATAATTGATAATATCACTGGCCACTGAATATCAACTCAACTAAGCCCATTTCTCATTCTTGAAAATGACCAAATATATATTTCACAATATCACAAATTCCTTATTTTTGTAGGTTCTGCGTTAAAAATTGGGGTTCCAATCCCATTTTATATTTTTACAAATCCCTAAAAAGTAAACTATAAAATTAGTGAAAGTGAATTTCCCAGAAATATTATATGTAGACATTTTGGTGTGTGTTTTATTAGATACTCAATACAAAAGCTGTTATTGCATAATACTCTTTGAAGGTTTATCTTGATGCATTGGAATGGTCAGGTTTTTTTCCAAATAGAAGTCCAATGCAGTTTTTATTACAGGTGCCTTCTTTATAAAATGCCCAAAGCTAGCAGTAAACATTCTTCTTTACTTGAAAGAACTTCAAACAATTCAAATAAACCATGCTAGTTTTTGAAAATGTCACTGCTGATTTCATGTGGGAAAATGATCTCAAAATGTTTGTGGGTGTGTCTATTTGATAGAAATTTCTGTGCTGACTTCTTTAGGTCTCTTGCTTGTCCCAGAAGGTTTGGTGTTGGATGAAGTTGATATCATTGTCTGTTGCAGTTACCAGGAATTGGTTCTGTTTCCTTTCATTAAAGTACCTACTGTCGGCCAAGTGCTATGGACACACATACACAAAATGGGCAAAATATACTACCCAAGGAACTACTTTTCTCTTGATTGAGATACGTATATCAATAATTAATATCAGTGCTAAGTACTAGATACTGTGATATATAATTATGCAAGTGAAGAGAATTGGACAGTTTATTTTCATGCATGTAACCAAATGAAGTTATAGAACAATTAAGGTGGTTTTTTTTTTTCTTTTTCTTTTTTTAAATTGCAGTACTGGATATTGAACTCAAGGCCTCAGGCTTTGCTAGGCAAGCAATCTACCATCTGAGCCCCAGCTCCAGTCCTTTTTGCTTTATTTTTTAGTTTCTTTTTCAGATAGGGTCTTGTGCTAACTTTGTATTGTCTGGCTTTGAACTGTGATCCTCCTGCTTCTACCTCCCAAGTAGCTGTGATTATAGGTGTGAACCACCACATTTTACACTATTTTTTTAAATTACTAATGAGAATAAAAGTAAACATTGTCGTCTATTGTGAAATGTTTTGGAATATATGGACTTAGAGTGTCAGGACCGTCAGCCTTTGATAGTGGTTAGTGTTAACACTCTTGGGCCTAGAATGTTGGGACCCTTGGCCTTATGGCTTGGTGGCTCCTTGGAATTCATCCAGTGACCTGAGCCTGTGTTTCCTCATCATTAGCCTTTGTCGCTGCTGCTACTTCTTCCATCTCTCATGTTCATGTTACCAGCTCAGCCTGCTCTACTAATTGATAAAAATCAAGTGTAGGCAAAGAAAAGACCTTTGGAAAGAAGCCTTTTATTGGGCCTAATATTGTAACACCAGGGGCATCTCTTGCACAGAAGGGTCTCTTAGCCAACTGGAAAAGTGAACCTAACAGCCAGCAAGGGGCTGTGGCAAGAGTGTCTGCAGCAATCACAACAGACCATGCAAATGAAGGATTGTGTTTGCATCAATCACAGGTCATCTGCTGGGCCATCAGGGGAAGTGCTTGCTCTCCATTCTGGGCTGGGTGAAAATGGCTGCTAGAGTTTACAAGGGTTGTGATGGTAGAAAGAGCTGACATAAACTGTTTGAAACAGCTGTAGCTGGGACAGTGCCTTCTGGAGCTAGAGCTGTGGTTTGGTAGCAAGCAGCTGTGGTTGCAGAGTAGCATCCTCAAGGCCTTTGTGAGGGCTCAAAGCAGCCTGGCTGGCATGAGAGAGACCGACTAGCTGCTTGGCTGACAGACTTTCACTTAAGGCAGCTGGGCACCAGGGAAGGACCTGATAGCTGTCAATTAGGGAATCAAATCACCCTGGGTCCCTAATAATTTAAGAGGGGTCCTTACAATAAAGTCCTATCCTTAACACAAACTGTGCTCTACACGTAGCCATATATCCTTTGGGAGAGTTGGGTCATTTATCTGTCTCAAAGCAACTTTAACATTGATTTTCATTTTATTGTTCCTTGAAAGGAGAACCATGCCATTTAGGCTTGAATTTCTTTAATTACTAAAGTATTATATGTTTTTGTATTTACCATTTTAATTTTTGTGTAGATTATATTTATATAACTATTTTTCTTAAAACAAAAAAGAAGAAAACCTAGTATCTGTGCCCAGTCAGCTACTGTTGACATGCAGTGAATTGCCTTTGGTCCTCAGCTGCAATTAGGTGCAATCAGACCAATAAGATTTTAATTGATTGCACATTCTAACTAAAATGTACACTGTATTGAAAATATTCTAAATCAAGCATGCTCTAAACATAGTGTAGTGATTCTGTTTCTTACTCTTCTCAAGCTAATTATAGTATTTTGTAAGAAATGCCCTGTATACAGGCTTTGCACTTCTTTCTTGATCTTCCCGGTGAAATTGAATAGGAAAGAAACTACAGTGACACTTACCGAGATCCTATGTGGGGTTAGTTTGCAGCCAAATGGTCTCATACATTGTTAACTGAAGTCTCTGGGTTGGATTTGGCTCAAGGTTTATAGTTTGCTGACCCCTATTCTAGATGTATTTGAAGTGATCTTGTTAAGTAACATTACTCAACTTACATGTCTATGTGTGTATGTGTATGTGTATATTTTTTGGGGTGCAGAGATTGAACACAGGCTTCATGCATGCTAAGCATATTTTATGTGTACTCCTGAGCTACATTCACAGCCCCTTCATGACTCATTTTTGATGAGGCATTCTTTCCTTAATGCCTTTTTTTTCTTTTTCTTTTTTTGATGTGGTGATGAGTGTTGAACCCAGGGCCTTACACATGCCAGGCATGTGCTCTGTTACTAAGTGACATCCTCAGCCTTTAATACCTTCTTAATGTGATCGAAAACTCTAATGCCTGTTCAGGTGATTTGATTGTTTTGAATAAATTATTGAGAACTAATACTTTTTACTTCAATTTTCAGATGGTGACCCTGACAACTATATTGCATACTACCGGAGAGCTACTGTCTTTTTAGCTATGGGTAAATCAAAAGCAGCACTTCCTGATTTAACTAAAGTGATCGAATTGAAGATGGATTTCACTGCAGTAAGTGTATCTAAACTTTAAGGGTAGCTTAAGGGAATTTGAGAGGCTGAGTTAGGAGAATCCCTTGAGCCAAGGGGTTTGAGGTCAGCCTGGGCAGCATACCCAGACTTTTTCAACAAGAAAAAACCCAACAAATTAAGGATCTGTATGAAAGAAGAACAGAGGGTATTCTGGTTGATTTCCCAGAAACCTGACAATGATACTAGCTTTATTATTTAGAAAGACAAATCTGTGTGAAGAATGGAGTTAGGGCAAGATGTAAGGGAGGACATGAATTAGGAGGCTGGCAGTGGAACGATAAGAGTTTTAATTGAGACTGTAGTGGGAAGTCTAAAGAGGAAATGGGTCAGTTAGGCATAGGTTTTGGTGAAGATGCCATACTGAATTAGCAGGGCTCTCCCTGGATCCAGTGCACAAGCTTCAAAAGCAGAGAAACTTAGAGTCTAATGTAATATCTTGAAGATTGGCAGGTCACTGTGAGAGCTGTGACAGGTGTGCTCTGGGACTCATCTTGTGATTGTATTGGTCAGTTTTATCATCACTGTACTAAATACCGGTCATGAATAATTTAAGAGGGGGCGGAGAGAGCTTTGTTTTAGCTCACAGTTTCAGAGATTTCATCTCATAGTCCTTGGCACCATTGATTCTGGGCTTGTGGTGAGACAGAACATCATGGTGGTGGGAGCAGGTGGAGGAGGAGGGTATTTACTTCATGACAGACAGCAATCAGAGAGAAAAATACAAGAAGGGGCAAGGGCTAGAAGCGCCTAAGGAACCACCCCCAGAGACCTACTTCCTTCATCTAGGCCCTACCTCCTAAAGTTTCCACCACCTCCAAAAATAGTGCTACCACCTGGGGACCAAGCACTTAACACATGAGCCTGGTGGGGACATTTCACATTTAAATAATAACATTGGGACAGAGGTGGGGCTTTCAGAGGCAGAATAGAATCATTGATGAATTAGATGGGTTCAAAATTAATTTGGGGACATTTATATACTGATATATTAAAAATGATTTGGGATAATTGATTAGACATGGAGTAAATGTTTGATTTGAATTATTGTTATTTTAAGATAGAATTCCCAAGTGTCAAATTTTTATTCAATCTATTACTCTACACAGGTAAGTACAACTGTCACAAAGGTTAAGTAGCTTATTTTTCTAGTGCTAGGATTATCTAGCTAGGTGAAATGGCCTTAATTTTGCTTTTTATGTGTAGTGATCCATTTAACAAAGGATTAGTGAAATTTTATGTACTGTAAAAGTAATACATAAGTTTAAGTGGTATATTGAATGGAATATTGATGTGGTTTCTTTTCTGGAAGACATTGTTCATCAGAGAGTTCTTGGAAGAGATGGGATTATGCACATTAGAAGAAGAATATCACAGAAGAGTGGAAAATGTATTGTTGCTCTGGTTATAGCAAATACTTGCATTGTGGATTAATAAAAAGTAAACCTATTTCTGAAGCTTTGATTGGTGAAGTTCCAAATAATGCAACATTATTTTAGGGGAAAAAGTTATTATGATGGCAAAAAGTATTTTTAAAAATTGAGATATAATTCACATACAATCAGATTCACTGTTTTAAGGTACTCAGTTGTTATTAGTATATTTACAAGGCTGTGCAGACATCATTACTGTCGAGTTCCAGGACATTTTTATCACTCTCAAAAAACCCCCTTATATCTTTCACAATCACTTCGTACTCTACCATGGTCCCTGACAACCATTTATCATGGATTTTCCTATTTTAGAAATTTCATATTAGTGAAGCCATACAGTATGTGACTTTCTTTCACTGATCATGTTTTCAAAATTCATTCATGTTGTAGCGTGTATCAACACTTCATTCTTTTTTATGATTAAATAATATATGGCTATATTACATTTGTTTATTGATTTATTAGTGGAAATTTCAGTTTCCATTTTTTTGACTATTACTGTGAACATTCATGCGTAAGTTTCTGTGTGGATATGTTTTCAATTTTCTTGGGTTGAGCAAAACATACATACATATACATACATACACACGCAAAATTTTTTTTTTTGGGTGGGACTGGGGTTTGAACTGAGGGCTTCACACTTAGGAAGCAGGTATTCTACCACTTGAGTGGCTCCTACAGTCCATTTTGCTCTGGTTATTTTGGAGATGGGGTCTCTCAAACTATTTGACTGGACTGACCTCAAACTTTGATCCTCTGATCCCAAGTAGATAGGATTACAGGTGTGAGCCTCTAATGCCCAAAAAACATACTTTTAAAGAAGCATACTTTAACAAAAATTATACACATTCATTGGTTCCAGGAATTATTTTCAGTGCTAAATCAAATGAGCATTTGAAAAATAAATGTTAACTTCACTAACTTATTTAGTATTGTTCTTTGTGTTAAAAGAAAATTTAGGTATGCATAGTATTCAGCACAATCCTCTTTTTTTCTAGGCAAGATTACAGAGAGGTCACTTATTACTCAAGCAAGGAAAGCTTGATGAAGCAGAAGATGATTTTAAAAAAGTGGTAAGTTAAGTGCAATTTATACTTGGTCCTAAGAGGATGTTATTTTCAGAGAAACCTTGGATCTATTTTTGTCTTTGTATCAAGACATTTAACAGTATTTTATAACTAAAAAGGAAAATTGTTTGATTTATTTATGTAAGAATCACAGTTCCTGAATTAATATTTGGTAACTGGCAAGAGGAACTCCATTAACAGTTGAAAGGTAAAGTGCACACAATCGATACATAATCCTAACTCGGTTTATACAGCAGAGTTATTCTGCTTCGTCCTATAAAAGAGTCAAGAGATGTCAGCTGAGCTATTCTTCATGCCCTCTAAGTGACTTGAGAGACCATTTATTTGATTTAGGAGGAATCATGAAACAGATTCTTTTTTTTTCTTTTATTTGTATGTGCACACAATGTTTTGGTCATTTCTCCTCCCCTCCCCCCCCTTTACCCCTCTGCCTCATGCCTGTCCCCCCAACCCCCTTGCTACCAAGCAGAAACTATTTTGCCCTTATCTCTAATTTTGTTGAAGAGAGAGTATAAGCAATAATAGGAAGGAACAAGGGTTTTTCTTAGTTGAGATAAGGATAGTTATACAGGGAGTTGACTTGTATTGCTTTCCTGTGCATGTGTGTTACCTTCTAAATTAATTCTTCTCGAACTAACCTTTTCTCTAGTTCCTGGTCCACTTCTCCTATTGGCCTTTGTCTGTCACTTTAAAGTATCTGCATTAGTTTCTCTGAGTTGAGGGCAACAAATGCTATCTAGTTTTTTGGGTGTCTTACCTACCTTATAGCTCCCTCGTGTGCTCTCGCTTATCATGTTATCAAAGTCCCATCCCCTTGTTGTATTTGCCCTTGATCTAATGTCCACATATGAGGGAGAACATATGATTTTTGGTCTTTTGGGCCAGGCTAACCTCACTCAGAATTATGTTCTCCAGTTCCATCCAAACTGTGAATGATAACATTTAAAAATTTCATTCTTCTTCATGGCTGCATAAAATTCCATTGTGTATAAATACCACATTTTCTTAATCCATTCGTTAGTAGTGGGGCATTTTGGCTGTTTCTATAACTTGGCTATTGTGACTACTGCTGCAATAAGCATGGGTGTGCAAGTGCCTCTGGAGTAGCCTGTGTCACTTTCTTTTGGGTATATCCCCAAGAGTGGTATTGCTGGATCATATGGCAGATCTTCGTTTAGATTTTTAAGGGGCCTCCAAATTTTTTTCCACAGTGGTTGTACTAGTTTACATTCTCACCAGCAGTAAAAGGGTTCATTCCCCGCCCCCCCAGCCCCCCGCCAACACGTATTGTTAGTAGTGTTGGGGTGAGATTGAATCTTAGTGTGGTTTTAATTTCCATTTCCTTTATTGCTAGAGATGGTGAGCATTTTTTCATGTGTTTTTGGCTATTTGAATTTCTTCTTTTGAGAAAGTTCTGTTTAGTTCACTTGCCTATTTCTTTATTGGTTCATTAATTTTGGGAGAATTTAGTTTTTTTTGAGTTCTGTATATATTCTGGTTTTCAGTCCTTTGTCTGATGTATAGCTGGCAAATATTTTCTTCCACTCTGTGGGTGGTCTCTGCAGTTTAGAGACCATTTCTTTTGTTGAGCAGAGGCTTTTTAGTTTTATGAAGCCCATTTATCTATGCTATCTCTTAGTTGCTGAGCTGCTGGGGTTCCATTGAGAAAGTTCTTGCTATACCTATTAGTTCCAAAGTATTTCCTACTCTTTCCTGTACCAACTTTAGAGTTTGGGGTCCGGTATTAAGATCCTTGATCCATTTTGAGTTAATGTTGGTATAGGGTAATAAACATGGATCTAGTTTCAGTTTTTTGCAGACTGCTAACCAGTTTTCCCAGCAGTTTTTGTTGAAGAGGCTGTCTTTTCTCCATTGTATATTTTTAGCGCCTTTGTCAAAGATAAGTTGCTTATAGTAGTGTGGCTTCATATCTGGGTCCTCTATTCTATTCCACTGGTCTTCATGTCTGTTTTTGTGCCAGTCCCATGCTGTTTTTATTGTTATTGCTTTGTAATATAGTTTGAAGTCAGGTATTGTGATACCTCCTGCATTGTTCTTTTGACTGAGTATTGCCTTGGCTATTCGTGGCCTCTTGTGTTTCCATATAAATTTAACGGTAGATTTTTCAATGTCTTTAATGAATGTCATTGGAATTTTGATGGGAATTGCATTAAACATGTAGATTACTTTTGGGAGTATAGATATTTTTACTATGTGGTTTCTACCAATCCATGAGCATGGGAGATCTCTCTACTTTCTATAGTCTTCCTCAGTCTCTTTCTTCAGAAGTTTATAATAGTTTTCCTTGTAGAGGTCATTCACATCATTTGTTAGGTTTACATCTAGGTATTTGATTTTTTTTTTGAGGCTATTGTAAATGGAATTGTTTTCATATATTCTTTCTCCGTTTGTTCATTATTAGTGTATAGAAATGCTAATGATTTTTCTATGTTGATTTTATATCCTGCTACCTTGCTATAGCTATTGATATTGTCTAGGAACTTTTGAGTATAATTTTTTGGGTGTTTAAGGTATAGGATCATATCATCTGCAAATAGGGATATTTTGACAGTTTCTTTACCTATTTGTGTTCCTTTTGTTCCTTCTTGCCTAGTTGCTCTGGCTAGGAATTCCAGTACTATGTTGAATAGGAGTGGAGATAGTGAGCATCCTTTTCTTGTTCCTGATTTTAGAGGGAATGGTATGAAACAGATTCTTAAATGGCTACTTTACAAAGTGTAAGGTGCTTTGGATTTGTTGGTAGAATGTTATAGATTATGTGTCTTTGAAGAGATATGTAGTGAAAAATGATTTTCAGAAAGAGACAGCCATCTCTTATTTATTCCAGAGGTAATCTAGAAAGGGTATATAACCCAGTATTCATTAGATACATTTTTCTGTAGTTTAATTGAATTGCTTAGTTACTCTGATAATCACTATGAAAATAAAATCTAAAATTTCTAACATTGTCATAACCTTTGTCATAATACTCAGTCATTTGCACATAAGTCCAAGAAATATTAGACTTAATTGTATTGAATCAGAATCTGTCTCATGGTCTCAATAAAATAGGCTATCATTTTTATCTGGTTTTCCCTTCTGCTTGAGAAGATAGATGTTTGAGAGTCACAGTTCCTGAATTAATATTCAGGAGAACAGGCAGAATCCCAAGTGGTGGGGAGGCAATAGTGCTGAAATACCCTTCCCTGGTCAGGCCTTTGTTCGGAGCAAATGTTGTATAAATATGTGTCAAATGGACGGATGAATGGTATAGAAAAGGAGAAAATATTTCTGCTTCTTGAAATGCTTGAATGTGTGTTGGAGTTTTTCTAATAACAACTTTAAAATAGTTTTCCAGAATTAAAACAATAATTTAGGATAAAGTTTTTGCACAAATTAATCTTTACTGTACATTGGTTGTAACCTTGTGGAAAAGTAATATTTTAGAATTTTTGTTATGTCTGCGTTAATGATTTTTCTGGGATCAGTATTAAAATCTCTCAGAAATAAGCAGTACTTTGATGAGACTTACCTACTTTTAGATTGTTCTGTGTAGTCATACTAATGCTCTTGAGTTCTTAAAACTGCCTTTGCTGTTGTTACAGGATTCTGCCATGAGAATGTGTATTTGTGCTAAATATTCTTTTATTTCTTTTTTCTTTTTTTATTATATTATTGTTGTTCTGGGATGCATTGTGACATTTACAAAAATTCTAACAATATATCATAGTTGAATTCACCCCTTCCATAATTCTCCTTTTTCCCACCCTCCCCCCATTCCTGGAATAGTTTCAACATATTTAATTTTTTCATACACTATAATTTTTAATTTTTTTATTTGAAATTTTTACTGAGGATATTGTATTCTTTACTGTTTCTCTCAATGATAACGTTTTATAAAGCTATAGAACAATATTACAACCAGGATATTGATATTGATAGTCTGCCAATCTATTCAGATTTTCTCAACTTCACTGCTTATTTCTCTGTGTATTTACTTATATACACTTTATCACATTGTTGGCTTGTGAATTCACCACCACAATCAAGATTATAGCCACACCATTTTCCCTCCCTTCCCACTATGGCCCCCTATCCATAGTTCCTGGCAACTACTAACTTGTTACTCATTTTTCATATTTTGACATTTCAGTAATGTTATATACATGGACTGAAATGTTATGTAAACTTTTGCAGTCACTTTTTTTTTAAAACTCAGTATAATATTCTGGAGATTGATTTAGATTTTTGAAGATACCATTTAGTTCTTTTCATTGCTCAGTATTCCATGATATATATGACACATTTAATTTTACATTTATCAGCTGATGGCCATTTGGATTTCTTTTTTTTTTTTTTTTTGGCTATTGTGAATAAAAATGCTATAGACATTCTAGTGTAAGTTTTTGTGCAAACATAAACTTTCATTTCTCTGAGGTAAGCCTAGGAGTGCAGTTGCTGGGTTTTATGAAATTATGGAAGCTACCACTTGCTTTTTTGAGTGATTGTACCATTTTGCCTTACTCTGCATCCTTGTCAGGATCAGGTATTGTTGCTATTTTTTTATTATGGCCATTCTGATAAAAAAGCTTTATGAGTATTTTGATAGAAATTGCAATTTAACCTATATGTTAATCTGGGGAGAACTGTTGAGTCTTCCACATTCAAGGACATAGATAGTGTAGTCTTCCACTCATTTAGATCCTTATTCATTTTCTTTCATAAGCAATTTGTAATTTACAATGAATAAATCCAACACTTTTTTTACATTTAAAAAATGTATTGCAGTTTCTTCTTTTTTTCTTTTTCCTTTTCTGTTGAAGTGATTGTATAATGATACTATGTTTTCAATTCCAGTTATTTCATGGAATAATTTTTTTGTGATTATTTCATCGAGAAAGTACTCAACTTGTACTCAGTTTTATGAGGAAAATCTTAATGGATATAAAGATAGAACAAGTTAAAGTTTAACACTGAAAAGCTATTTAAAAATTTATGCTAACACTGATTTTCTGTGTATAATACTTCTAACTAAAGCAGATTTGATTTAGAGGAAAATATAAGCACAGAATTCATGTATTTCAGAAGTATTTTATGTTAAGTTTTACTTGAAATAAATTTAAGTTATTTGGGATACTTAGTTTTCCCAAACTCATTTTATGGGACTTATCAGATTAACAATAGGAAAATCTGCTGGGCACCAGTGACTCATGCTTGTAATCCTAACTATTTTGGAGGCTGACACTGGAGGATCACAGTTTGAGGCCAGCCTGGGTAAATAGTTCACGATTCTCCCTCCCATCCCCAATCTCCAAAATAATGAAAGCAAAATGGATGGGAGGTGTGGCTCAAGCAGTAGAGTGCCTGCTTTGCAAGCGTGAAGCTCTGAGTTCCACCAAAAAAAAAGGGGAAAATCTACATGTGTGTAACCTTTGTCTGAACAGTGAGTACAGTGCAGTCCAGGAGTGATGGGAAGTGGAGAGCGGACACAGGGTCATGAAACAGAGCTGCTGAGAAAATCTTACTTAACACACATAAAACTGATGAGACATTTGGAACCTGAATTCCACAGGGCAAATAAGAGGAGAATATTAGGCAGACAACATAAGAGACATAAATCCAGAGCAAGCGAGTACAGTGTTTGTCTTTCTAAATGAAGAGATAAACATTAAACCTGTTCAGTGGCCACTATGCATTACATTTAGCAAAACCAATAGGTATCATAGAGCCTAATATCGACTGGCTTTAAAGGAAATGTTTCCAGTCAATACTGGCAGTAGAGCTATGAAAGAAAACCATTTGCCCAGAGCTACTTAGTGGAGTTCTGTTTGTTTTGGAAACAGAGAATATTGTGTCAATATGGTAAAATAATATTAACAAAATTATTTTTGTATGGTGTTGACTTACCCGGGCATACAAAATATTGCATAAAAAGAAAAAATTGTAAGTATCGATTGCAATTCATAATACTTTTATGTCTATTATATTATGTAATATATATGATGCTTATTTGAAGCTTTTCTCTCCACCTTTGTAAAGCTATATACAATATATTTTGAAGAAACAAAAGAGCTTTTGGAAATTGAGACAGGAATTTTGGGTCTTAGATCTGACTTTGTACTTTAGCTGTGATTTATGCAGGTCTCAGGATATGCTGGGCACGTTTCTGAGTGGCTTGTATGGAATTTTTTCACTTAGTCATTGTTTTAGTCTTGGGAAGTGCTGAATTAGTAGTCACATTATACAGCAGAGGAAGTTGATACTTAGGATGGTTTGTTTGGTAAGTAGCCTGCTCAAAGTTATACCACCAGTCAGCAAGTGAGTTTTAGGTTCTAGAGCCTGCACTCCTGTGCACTGTGCTGTAATAAGTAATTGTCTACATGCATCCTTTGAAGACTATTCCTGTGGAATAAGGTCATAGGTTTACTATTTGTGTAAAAGTGAAGAAACACATGTATTTGCTTACATATGAATAAAATACCTCTGGAAAGATATGCAAAAAACTGATAATACCAATTAACTTTTGAGGAAAACTACCTTGTGCCCCTATTATCTATTCAAAATAGTGTCAAATATTTACTTTACACATTTTGTATAAGTGACTTTGGAAAATTCTTATCTTCTGAGAATCTCATTTTTGCATAGAAACCTGCATTTTTGTTATAGTCAATCATATTATTTGTAAAAATAAATGAGTTTCACTTTGACATTTCCATACACGCATACATGTTGTGCTTAGAGCTTATCTACCACTCCCCACACTGCCACCTCAGTCCCCTTCACTGTCTCTTTCCCTTTCCTTAATAGTCTGTTCTCTTTTTGTTTTTTGAAGTTATCATATATGAATGAGAGAAAACATGTGATACTCATCTGTGTCTGGTATATTTCACTTAATATGACATCCTCCAATTTCATTTATTTCTATGCAAAAGACACAATTTCATTCTTCTTCATGGCTGAATAATACTCATTGTGTGGACTGGCAGTATGGCTCAAGAGGTAGAGTGCCTGCCTGACAAACGTAAGGCCCTGAGTTCAAACTCGAGAATTGCCAAAAAAATAAGTACGTGGAACTACATACATCAAATTCTAATTGTATTTTGACCTCTAAGGAGTCAAATTTAGGTTCTTACTGTTCTAGGGCTTTAACTGCCATAACTTTCATAGAGAATACAAAGGTTAAATTGGCTGATGAATAACTCCAGGGAAATAAATTGAGCAGCTTTTGAAAGTATTTATTATGCCTTTTGCAGTCTGTTCCTATTGTGACTTTATATGTGATGGGAAGATGACAAAAGGGGCTGGGCATGTAGCTCAGTGGTAGAGTATGTGCGTATAATGTACAGGCCCTTAATTCAGTCTCCAGCATGCCCCCCAACAAAGATCATGAAAGGAGTTTGAAGTTTCAGTAGCACTTTTGGGAGTACTTGTTGTTATATAGAGTACCCTTTTAGTCTCTCAGTGACTACTCCACAGGGTGTAAGTGCTGTTGTCAAAGTAGATACACATAACATGTAGATAAGTGATTAATTCAGGATTTGAGTAAATTAATGTTTTTATTTAGACTTTAAAACATTACTAGCACAAAATCTCTATGGAAATGTTTATAACCTGGCCACTGAGAAATGGCAAAACCTCTACCCTATGTTACTACTGTTTTAGCTACCTGTTGCTGTATAACAAAATTACCCAAGTTAGTAGCTTGAAAGAACATGTTTACATTATCTCACAGTTAATGGGGTTAATAATTTAGGCATGGTGTGACTGGGTCCTCTGTGCCATATTGTGCTCTGGGATATTTGGAATGGTCAAATCTTTGTATATAATACAGGTACTGGATTTAAGATATAAAAAACCTGCTTAATTTTTTTGTTATGCTTATAGCTCCAATCTAATCCAAGTGAAAATGAAGAAAAGGAAGCCCAGTCTCAACTTACAAAATCTGACGAAATGCAACGTTTGCGTTCACAAGCATTTGATGCTTTTGAAAATGCTGATTACACTGCTGCTATAACCTTCCTTGATAAGATTTTAGAGGTAAGTTTCTTAAATACTACAGCTGACAAGCTGACACTGCTTTTAACTGTAAGGCATATTTATGCATTTGACATGCTATATACTACAAAAAAACCCAGACAGGATAAAATTGAACCGATCCTTGTGTTTGTATTTGAACAAAATTTTCAACTGAAATTTTCTGTAAATGATCTGAATGTGCTGAGGAATGACAGCTCATATTTTTGTTGCTTTCTTTGCTATTTTGGTTGATTTTTTTATTTAAGGGGAAGACAACTGTAGTTAGATAATAGGGTTAAAGATAAGAATTGATTGAAGCAAAAGGAAAAATGATGTTTGGAAAGAAAGAGGAGTGTTTATAATGAGAAGTTTCTAGGAAAGAAGACAGAGTTGACAGGATCCAGAGGGTGCTAGGTTTGGAAACTTAAGGTTAGGGTTTCTTTGCCTTGAAAAATGATTTCAGAAAGAAGTCTAAAATAGTTATAGTTCATATTTAATCACTATTTTCACAGCACTTTGATGTACAGTTTCATTTGATCTTGGCAATGAACTTGTGATATATATAGAGCAGGCATTTGTTCGATAATTTTCTAGAGGAAGTCATATGATGTGGCCTAGCAGAATTCGTGTTTCACTAAGTTATTTTGTTAATACTTTATTAAGGACACACAGTTACAGTAGTTAGACTGTCCATTTTGACCTAGCTTACTATTCATACTTAACTTACATATAGTGTTGATTTTCATTTCTTCACATATGTGAAAAATTGGCATAACTTCAAAGCAGCTGTAAGAAATATGTAAAGATACTTCCTTAGGCCTTACTGGTTAGCTTTTGGGTTTTTATTTTGAAGAATAGTAGTGTGTTTAGTGAACTTTATGGGTGTTTGACAAAACAGGAATGGTGAAGCCTTCTCTTCCACATTTCTTTTTTTTTGGATAAGAGGATTTAAGTTCAAGGAGGTGACGTTTTCCAAAAGAGAATTTCATTTAGTAATTGTAGAGTATTTTGTTATTTTAGAACCTAGATTTTCTTTTTTTGACTAGGAACCAGGATGGTTGGTTGAGTATAAAAATCTGATAATAGATTATTCTATCCACATATACTCTGTAGTGGGAACAACCCTGTAATAGTAAATGCTGTGTTTTGTTATTTCAGTTTTAGATCAGTGGAGGCAGAAAAAAGGCCTTGTTATGTCTGTCTATCTATCTGTAGAATTCAGATTAGAATTTAAGATCTTTAAATTTTTGTCCATTTAAATTGTATTAGACTTTTTAACACTATTTACAATGTAGAAGTCATCACAATAACTGAGGATGTCTTGTGTCAATAAATATATGGAATGCAAGAACAAATTTGTGTACTTTATTGTTTCTTAAAGTCTAGTTCTTTTGTTTCTCAAGGTTTGTGTTTGGGATGCAGAATTACGTGAACTTCGAGCTGAATGTTTTATAAAAGAAGGGGAACCTAGAAAAGCTATAAGTGACTTAAAAGCTGCATCAAAATTGAAGAATGATAATACTGAGGCATTTTATAAAATCAGCACACTCTACTACCAACTGGGAGACCATGAACTGTCCCTCAGGTTAGTTCTACTGACACCCATATCTGATCATTCTTTTATAACATGTAAGATAATATTATCTTTTAACATTTTCATTAAGTTAGTAAAAGTATATGACTAAGACTTTTTATACTCTATCTCAATTTATGTATTTTATGTTATCCCTAAGTTATTCTCGTTTCATTTAGTTTATTTTCATGCTTATCAACATAAGTTACAGGTCTATTTTATTTATAGAAATAAAGTAGAGTGTTTAATGTCTAACTCTATATATCATTCTAATTTGAATTAGTGTGTCCATGGTACATTGTCACATATAAAAGTGTGTAGTAAATTATGAGTTAGTATGTCTGAATGGTTACAATTAAATTTATGCTTATTATGATTTCTTTGCTTAATATGTAAAACTACTCATTGATTATTTTGACTTGGAGTATTTTCTTTTTTTAAATTACATGAACAGTGAAGTTCGTGAATGTCTTAAACTTGATCAAGATCATAAAAGGTGTTTTGCACACTATAAACAAGTAAAGAAACTTAATAAACTGATTGAGTCAGCCGAAGAGCTCATCAGAGATGGCAGGTAAGGCTATGCTTATTCTAACCACCAGCTTTCCTATATGTCTGGTTGTGGGCACAGATGAAGCTTTCGGTCGCTCATTCTCTGGCCATCGAGTATGGGATATTTATTCTAGATGGCACTGGGCCTTAGTAGAAGTATAAGGGTTGAGTATTGTTGCAACAAGGCAGAATACACTAATAATACTAACTGCGTCATGTCCTTCCCAGCAGACTTGTGATGTTAATTTTTTATTTTCTCCTAGATCAGATATTGAGCTGTGTACTGAGAGTGAAGGAATTAATTTGACTAGTTTTTGGTCATGAACTACTTATTAAAAGATACTATAGTATAAAGTGCTACAGTGTATAGAGTATAATGGGAATACCAAAGAAGGGCATTTAATCCAATCCATAATGGTGAGGGCTAGGAGTAAAAAAGAAAAGCTTTTTGGAGAAGGTGATAGATATTTAAATCCTCATCTTAGAGAATAATAAGGAGTTGCCAGGCATAAGGGGTTGTGTCTATAGGAAGGCTGAAGAGAATAGAACACATTGCAGATGTACTGCTCAGTAGAAAGTAGGCTCTGGCTTTCCTACTTGTAATATCTTTGTAAGTTGTCATCATGAGAATGCTTTACCTAATTTCCCCCAGTGTCTTGCACTATAACATCTTCATGATCAGGATATTGATTAATTCGAACATCACAAGTGGTTATAGCCATAACCACTTTTTTCCTGTTTCTACACCTTCCTTAGCTACTAGCATCCAAAATATATTCTTCATTTCTATAATTTTGTCATTTCAAGAATGTTACAAAAATGGAATTATGCAATATATAAACTTTTGGGATTGGCTTTTTTTCCCTGCTACCACATAAATCTCAGGAGATTTACCCAGATTGTTGTATGTATCAATATTTCCTTCCTATTCATTGCTCAATACTTCCCATGGTGAAGATGTACTATAGTTTGTCTAGTTATTCACCCATTGAGAGTCACCTATTTAATAAAACTACATGCATGTACACGTCTTTATTTTCATTTCTCTGGGATAAATGCTCATCTCATGTTTGGTTTATAAAGCATTGCCAAGTTGATTTTGAGTGGCTGTATCATTTTATATTTGCACAGTAGGATGTAGTTTTTTCATACACTTGACAGCATTTGGTGTTAGAATTTTATTTGCCATTCTTATGCTTATGCTGTGACAGCTCACTGTAGTTTAAATTTCATTTCCATCGTGAATAGTAGTAAATGTTATTTCATGTGCTTATTCACCATCTGTATATCTTCTCTGTGAACTGTCCCTTCATGTCTTCTGTACATGTTCCAATAGGATTATTTACTTTTTAACCTGTTGAGTTTTGAGAGGTCTTTTAATTGTCTAGATGCTAACCCTTTGTCAGAATTATGGTTTGCAAATATTTTTTCCCCACTCTAGCTTATCTTTTTATACTCTTAACATCTTTGTTGTTTGAGGTACACACATTTAGGATTGCTGTGCAATAGACTGATCCTTCTGTCATTCTGTTGTTCATCTCTTATAATTTTTTTCATTACTTTATGTTCTATTGCTTTCCTCTGATTGCTTTCTATTGCTTTCTTCTGATTAAAAATTGCATGATACATTTTTCCTATTCTTTTATTCCCAACTTATATTCGAAGTGAACTTCTTATAGACAGCATATAATTGGATTATGATTTTAAACATATTCTGCCAATCTTTTAGTTGGTATTTATAGACAATTTACATTTAATGTAATTGAGATACACTAAGGTTTAACTGCTGTTTTATTCTTTGTCTGTTTTCTGTTTCCATTTTCCTATTGGTTAAACATTTTTTGCAATTTTTATTATATAATCTTTGCATAGTTTTTTTTGTGTGTGTGTAGTTTTTTTTACTATTTGCTCTAGGTATGACATAACTTAGTGGAGTCATTTTAGCAGATGGGTGAGGTAAAAGAACCTTATTTCCCTTTAAGTACCTTTACAGTTTACCTGTTTATAATTGTTTTAAATATTTCCTGTACCATACTCTAGAGAATGTTGCAAATTTTGCTTCAACATCAAACATAATTTAGAAAACTCAGGAAGAGAAAGAAAGCTTATAATATTAAGTCTGTTTTGTGTTTCTGTAACAAAATACCTGAGGCTAGGTACTTTATAGAGAAAAGAAGGTACTTTGGCTCACGATTAGGGTGGTCGCCAAGTCCAAATAACATGCTAAAGGCATCCTGCTGAGGGTCAGAAGGATGGCTGAGAAGCAGAATTGGCCAAGCCTTACTTTACAACTTGTTCTCTCAAGAACTAATCTAGCTGGGCATGATGGTACAGTCCTGTAATCCTGGCATTTGGGAGGTTTAGAGAGGAACATCATAAATTTGAGGCCAACTTGGGCTTCATATTGAGTTTCAGGCCAGGCTGGGCTACCATTGCGAGATCCTATCTCATAAAAAGAAAGAAAAAAACAAAAACACCCCAAACCCGAAACTAACCTGGTCTAGAAGAACCACTTTAATCCCTTCCAAGGTTTTGTGCCTCTGTGACTGGATTACCTTTCCACTATGCCCTCAACTTCTTAAAGGTCCATCATACTGGGATCCAGTTTAAAACTTGAACTTTTTGGGAACGAAACCAATAGGATATATATACTAGTTATTTTGCTTGCTTGCTTCTTTCTCCAAAATTCCATCTTTTTTATACTTTTCTTGGGGAAGGGGTTTGCTGGGGTTTGAACCCAGGGGTCCTCACTCATACTGAACAGGTGCTCTCCCACTGAACTACATTGCTCCCAGCCCTTTATTCTTTTCCTTTGCTTGGAGAACTTCTTTTAGGTAGATCTGTTGTAACAGGGCTTTGTCTAATTTTCCTTTATCTGAAAATGTCTTTTCTTTATTCTTTAGAGAGGGGACTTTTTCTCTGGGTGAGGATTCTGGGTCTTAAAAAGATCTTTCTTTCAGTACCTGAAAAAACTTTGATCACTTTTTTCTGGCCCCCTCATTAGTTGCTGATGAGACCTCTTTTGTCATTTTGATATAATTTTTTTCTTTTGAAGGTAAGGTGTCATTTTCCCATTTCTGGACTGCTTCTTTAGCATTCACAATTCAGTTGCGGATGATGTCTTGCATAGCTTCTTTTGTTGTTTGTCCTATGTTAGAAGTCAACTTAGCTTTTTTGGTTTAATTTCATATGTGCAATATAATTGTTTGGGTCATTTCCTTACCCCTTCCGCCACCCTCCCTTACCCCGGACCCCCACTCCCTCCCTCTCCCCCCCTACCCCTCGTACCCTGGCAGATACTATTTGCCCTTATCTCTAATTTTGTTGAAGAGAGAGTATGGTAGATTCAATGTTAGCTTTTTAAGTAGCCTCCAAATTTTTTTCCAGAGTGGTTGTACTAGTTACATTCCCACCAACAGTGTAAGAGGGTTCCTTTTTCCCCGCATCCTCGCCAACACCTGTTGTTGGTGGTGTTGCTGATGATGGCTATTCTAACAGGGGTGAGGTGGAATCTTAGGTGGTTTTAATTTGCATTTCCTTTATTGCTAGAGATGGTGAGCATTTTTTCATGTGTTTTTGGCCATTTGAATTTCTTCTTTTGAGAAAGTTCTGTTTAGTTCACTTGCCCATTTCTTTATTGGTTCATTAGTTTTGGGAGAATTTAGTTTTTTAAGTTCCCTGTATATTTCTGGTTATCAGTCCTTTGTCTGATGTATAGTTGGCAAATATTTTCTCCCACTCTGTGGGTGTTCTCTTCAGTTTAGAGACCATTTCTTTTGATGAACAGAAGCTTTTTAGTTTTATGAGTCCCATTTATCTATGCTATCTCTTAGTTGCTGTGCTGCTGGGGTTCATTGAGAAAGTTCTTACCTATACCTACTAACTCCAGAGTATTTCCTACTCTTTCCTGTATCAACTTTAGAGTTTGGTCTGATATTAAGATCCTTGATCCATTTTGAGTTAATCTTGGTATAGGGTGATATACATGGATCTAGTTTCAGTTTTTTGCAGACTGCTAACCAGTTTTCCCAGCAGTTTTTGTTGAAGAGGCTGCTATTTCTCCATCGTATATTTTTAGCTCCTTTGTCAAAGAAGTTGGTTATAGTTGTGTGGCTTCATATCTGGATCCTCTATTCTGTTCCACTGGTCTTCATGTCTGTTTTTGTGCCAGTACCATGCTGTTTTTATTGTTATTGCTTTGTAATATAGTTTGAAGTCAGGTATTGTGATACCTCCTGCATTGTTCTTTTGACTGAGTATTGCCTTGGCTATTGTCTGGCCTCTTGTGTTTCCATATAAATTTAAGTAGATTTTTCAATCTCTTTAATGAATGTCATTGGAATTTTGATGGGAATTGCATTAAACATGTAGATTACTTTTGGGAGTATAGACTTTTTACTATGTTGATTCTACCAATCCATGAGCATGGGAGATCTCTCCACTTTCTATAGTCTTCCTCAATCTCTTTCTTCAGAAGTGTATAGTTTTCCTTGTAGAGGTCTTTCACATCTTTGTTAGGTTTACACCTAGGTATTTGATTTTTTTTGAGGCTATTTAT